ACGTTGGCGGCACTGCCAAGAGCGAGGATGCACTCAACGATCTCCTCGTCGATTTCGCCAGAAGCGCCAGCTGCCAACATCAGCGGCGTGCAGTCTCGCCTGCGGGACCGTCGCCGCAGTAACGCCTCGGCACCCGGGCCTCGCAGCAGTTCTAGTGCCTTCTCCCTATCGCCAGCCTCCAAGGCAGAGAGCAACACGTTGGGATCTGCAGGATTGTGCGGCGCAGCGATTGGAGTCGCTCGCAGCAAGTCCCGTCCGTGCTTTCCTTGCCCTTCCAGATTCCACGGCCCTGAAACGAAACTTTTTTGCAGAACACATATGGCTGTCAGCGCAAACAGCTGCCGACGAGCCAGCCTATGCATCCTGTTCGAGTGATGGCAGCCCAGTTACGAAACTTGAAGGCACTGCTGCCACGAGCTCTTTGCTACAGTGATAAAGGGGAACTGATGAAATGCTTGTCCGTCGTGAAAAATGTTCATCAGTTATGAATGTACCTACGTTGATGCCAGTCCGGGCGAGCTTGGTCCACAATGTTCGTTCTCAGTGAACGTCAGCGCCTTGGAAGCAATCTTGAAGGCAGTGTGGACACTCAGGCCCAAGCGATTGGCAGCAAGAGTCCTTGGGCATAGCGCGGTGCGCATAAGGATGGTAAGCAGGAAATACCGTGGGTGAAAAATTCCAGCAAGGGTCCGTGCTTGCGATTGCTTGATTGTGCGGGTGCTCATGTGGTACTCATGTGTTTTATCCATGTATTTGCCTGTCTGTGTAAAGTCGGCACGATGTCTCGCCTTCTGACATTGCACAACGTCTCTCGATACACAAACACGTCGTTGAGCCGCGCCCACCACCCTCATGAACGTCAAGCGAACAGCAGCGTGAACTCGGAATAAACGTTGTTATCTTGGTCAACTTGGGTTAAATGGGAACGGGTTTGATCGAGGTGGGCAATGCATCTGAGCCTTGAGTACAAGCTAACGCGGGCTTGTGGGTGTGGTCGGGGTGGATGCTACCATCCTGGGCTGCATGGATTTACTCGTAGACGCAGGTGCCATGGGCAAACGGGCTCTGTTCGGACATGTCGCAGCCCTCTGCTTTCTGAATCTTCGTGGCGCTTGCAAACCGAAAACAAGGCTAAGCTCCGAATGTAAACACCCGAGCGGCATTTGGGATACTTTTGGTCTATAGATAGTCTCTGGGACCTCTCAACTTGGGTCTTTGAAGTGTCAAGATGCAAGCCCAGAACTCGCTGTTCATCTAGTTCTCCCTTCTCTGCCTGTATCTGCATGCAGCGCATGCACACGAGGATTCATGGACTCTGCTTAGGCAGTTCGTAGCGACGCAGACACACAGCCTACCTCCGTCGGCTCCTACACAACACCAAAACCTCAGCTCCGGACCAAACCGCGCAAAGAACTCTGCACCTCCGGTCTGCAAAGACTCTTTCGGGGCAACTTAATAGTACATAGTATAGCATGGTAAAGTACGGTACAGTATAGTATAGAACTCGCAATACTGTTGTGATATATAATTGAAGTATGTAATTGTCTGGCAAAGGGCTGCATCGCCCCTTAGCCCGAGAAGGTCTAGGCAAGGCCCGGCGGTTTGCGTGCCGCACGCTGTTGCACGTTGTCAGCAGCTACGCAGCCTCCTCTCAAAATCCCATAAAAAAATAGCCAGACCGCGCCTGACCCTGCAGCTCCGTGATCTCGATGGGCGAAGGACTTCGAGGCCCAGCTGGTAGGAAGCACGGGGAGGGCGTCCGCTGTGCACGGGACCTGGGCGCTTCGGATAGGATCGAACGAACAAGGGCAGACAAGGGCAGAAGGATGGGTTCTACATGTTCTTGGAGCATCTATCCAACATGACAGGTTGGGGGCATCGGCAGATGCCTTGGGCTTTGAGGTTGAAGGCTTGCGGGGGAGCCAAACACTTCATGTAGAGCCGAATTTTGAGCATCGGGGCAGACGTCTACTACTGGACTTTCGCTCTATCTGTGAAGGTTTCAGCTTGCAGGCTTTTTTGCAGAGCCGGCCAAGAATCCTACCAGCCCGGCGCCGGATTCGAGTAAGGTGGCAGACGTCGCCGATGCGCTCGCTCTGGGACATGGACGGAGAGAGCGGTGAGGAACGCTTTCTTTAAAACCGCATGGAGACGACAACGGGGAGTCCCATTCATCGATCCGTTCTCGGAGAGCTTATGCAGCGTGTTGGATGCTTTGTGCCTGCAGGGGCAAAGACCCTTTTCGACTTAGTCGAAGAGGGTCTTCCCCCTGCATGCGCGAAGTCCATCGACGCTGCAGGCATGGTCGTGGCGAATAAAGGGGCTCCAACTGACTGTTGCTGTGGGATGTTTTGCCAAGATCTTCCTCCCCTCCGGTCAAGAGTGACAACCCCACGCAGTACACCGACCCGCAGTTTCTGCCAGGGCTCCCCATCCGTTTCCTCCAGCACGATCACGGCGGGCAGACTTGTTGGCAGTGCAATATAGTTGTCCAAGGGAACCACTTGCTGCAAGGTTTTTGCCACGGCCGCTGCTGAAGCACTCTCCAACAACAACCGCAACCCAACCAGAACTGCTTTGGAGGCTTCAGTCCGGAGCCTGCGCACGTTCGGTGCTTATCTGTGAAAAGAGGACAGAGTTTACGTCAGACGATGCTGCTCGCAAAGATCCGACCTTTCGTCAGCTGTTTGCCGTGATCTCCGCTTGACAGGAAGCAGCTTTGAGGGTGCACTCGCGCCGAAAGAACACGGCTCGTCTGACATTCTGGGAGTTTTGGCAACTGTGACAAGCACAGCTACAAAACGACGCATCAAGGGGTTGACGATGATGTTGTGATGGAGAGACGACTGAAAGCAACTCGGGACACCCAGTGGGCCAAGCTCTTGCCCCCAGCCACAGTTTAGTTGTAGCATGCTAGCCCTCTTCAACGGGTCCGGACTGAGTCCAGAACGCTGCGCGAACCCGATGCATTCCGACAGCGTCGACCATCGGCCCAGTGAGAACCAGGCCGACGCCAAGCTTTCACGTGGCTGCAGAAGGGCTGCCCAGAAGTACTGCCGCCAATCAGGCTCAATGCTCAAAGTGAGCTTACTCTCGGCGACCAGGGTACTCAGTACTCTCCCTGTTCCTTTTCGAAGAGGAAGCCGAAGCTGCAGAGAGCGAACGAGGTGCGTAATACCACAGGTATGCAAACAAAATCTCGGCATTGTAATCCTTATGCACCGCAGGTTTCGAACGCGTCGGCCCGAGGGCGTTATCACCGCAAGGAGCTGACCCCCTGAAATGCACTTAAACAGTAAGCCTAGCCCCAACAAAAAAGGCCTGCGGCGGAGAGACGTCAGATCGTTTGCCAGCATGCATGATCTATCTCAGTTGGAAGATTCAAGCAGACAGGGCTCTTGCACTTGATGAACGTCAAGCAAAAGCTGTAGCAGAAGCTTGTGGCAATTCGTCACTTCTTAAAGCTTTCACTCTAAGTAACCGGAGGTGTATTTTGAAAAGCTTGGGTACGACAGGCAACTATTGTTTTGCCCCTCTCTGGATCGCGGTTCAGAGGTCCCAGGACTGCCTGGGTGAGAGGATGTGGCAAAATCCTAAAGCTCTGGTGTGGCGGAAATGTTGCTCTAAGGCCATTCAACCACCCTTGTTTCTAGCAAGCTTGCATATGCACATGGCCCTTTGTTCCTCAAGACATCCGGAGACTGCCAAGGCTTGAACGGACATCTGGTGGATGGTGTCTCCTGCAAGTTGCCAGACTGGGGTGTTTCTGGCGAACCCACTGACTCTCACAGCAGCAAATGGTGGGAAAAGGCGAAGGGGTCAGTCAGCAGCCGGGGTTACGCTTCTTGGCTTCTTTGTTCAATCCTTTCAGATAGTTCCCCACACTCTCGTTTCTGTCCCAGCACAGTTACAGTGCTGCGATTGGCACTGACCTCTTGGGCATACTTGTTGAAAGGGCTATGAAGTCTCCTACTGATCTACGCTCGGCAGAACTCCTGAAGTTGCTCGCACCAAATCCCTCAATCACAAGCATTGAAGCATCGCTGATCCAGCTGAGCAAACGCATAGCCGCTATATCGTAAACCCTAAACCCTATAGGCTCTAAACCCCTTAACCCAGAACACTGATCTTTGCCCGACAGTGGTCCGTTGGCCGCTTCATCGGCCATGGCTTTGCTACCCGGGCCTTGGTCCAGGTTGGTGATGGTGGATGCATGAGAAGAAAAAATGAAGAATGTATATTATGGATGATAAAATCTAGTATCTGTCCTATCTATATATATATATATACATATGTATATATATATATATATGTATATGAATGTATAACCTGAGATAGATAGATAGATAGATAGATAGATATAGAGAGAGAGAGAGACGCGCAGTTTTTCAGATTTTTTTGCATGGAGGAGGAGCAGCGGCAGCAGCATCATCATGCCGGGAAAGCTGTAATCGTCATGGAAAGCGTCTTGGCGGGGTGACAGTAGTTATCTCTAAATTATAAGCCTTACATGAAGCCCAAATTCTAGAACAGTACCATATAGTAGCACCCCATAATAGGAAGCCTCTATTGGTACCCCAAATTTGTACTCCAGAATGGTAGCCTATTGTGGCACCCTAAAACAAATAGCACCTTCTATTACTACCTGGTAATCTAGACCTGTACCTTTCTAGTATAATGGCACCCTATAATGAATAGCACCTTCTAACACTACCCTGTAATCTAAACCTGTACCTTTCTAGTATAATGGCA